TGTTGTGATAGCTCATTAATGCTTTTAATTTTTTTTAATGATTCTAAATAAACAAAATTCATTGCATTATATTTTTTTTGTTGCGGGATTAACAGTTCCACTCAACGAGCTAATTTTTTTAGAAGGAGAAACCATTTTGCGAAAACTTAAATCGCAAGGAATGCCCGAAGTGGTGAGTAGTCAATTTTCGCTGTAATTTTTTTTAACAAAATACGCAGCACTTTGTGAATTATAAAGTGTTTTTTTTCTAATGTACTTTAAAACATCGTCCAAATTGCCTCTTTTTTTCGCTGCCACTGTTCAGGATGACGAGATGCATGGTTTTTTTTTTACAACGAGGGATTTAACGAACTTATCACGCTAGCTTTTTTTGCTCTGTTGCAAGTTGCGCAAACATCATTGTTTTTTTTTTTTTTGATAGTTTTTAATTGCAAATCCCAGTTCACTGATTTTTTTAGTTTCGAATTCTATTTTGTGCAAGCTTAGCTTCATTTTTTTATATTGTCTTCTTTGTACAGAAATTGTTTGCTGAATTTTTTTCCATATATGTAACATGCTTTCGAGGTTAAGGCTGATTTTTTTTCGAAACTTGGGTATTCACCCTTCGTTGAGCCAATTTTTTTTCCATTATAATAAATATTTGATTTATTCAGCGCAGCTTTTTTTTGCCAGCTTGACAAGTTACGTTTTATGATTTTTTTTTTTTTTGGAAGTATTGTTTTCACTCCAGTTCTTTTCGCTAGTTTTTTTCAAATGATTTTAGCTGATTACATTGTAATAATCCATTTTTTTAAATTAAACTATCTTCACAGGATGAATCGCTGGGAACACTCTCGGTATCCCTGTGCCAGGAACCAAGGGAAGGCCGTTTTTTTTTTCACGTAATCAAAGCGGAAAATTTGCCATCCAACTTTTTTTAAGAATTAACTGGTAATAAATGTAATTGAGTCGACTTTTTTTGAATTCAATCGGCTGTCGACTGTCCTGTTTCAAACTTTTTTTCTCACATGTGCCTAATTAAATTAAAATGCAATCCCCCCACACAGACTCCTCCCCACTCTCTTCCCCTTAACGTTGATTTTTTTTCCCATGTATACAACTTATTTTAATAACGTCGGATCTTTTTTTGGTGATAATATCGAATCAAACCCCGGAAGCGATTGTTTTTTTAACCCTGTTACATAATTATTTTTACTCGTAGAGAATTTTTTTTTCTAAAGTCCAGGCAATCTTTTGGCCCCTGCGAATTTTTTTTTACACTCTTAATATTTTATTTCCCATCCTCCCTTTTTTTTTTAGCTTTGATGATTTAATTTTTTAAACCCGACTGATTTTTTTCAATCGATCAGGTGTATAAAATCTAAGTCATCAATATATTTTTGTTCTTGTTCTAGATTCATATGTGCGAGTGACGTTTTTTTTACAAGGTAAACAGGTCGACAGACGAAAGACTAAGGTTTTTTTGCGAACAGTAAACCCAGTTTTCAACGAGCCATTTATTTTTTTAATGAAAGAAGAAGAGTTAACTCACTCCAGTGTTGTTTTTTTTGTCTTTTATGGCGATTTTAAGCTCAAAACAGCAATTTTTTTTCATGTAAACCTTGGTACTGGCCAGGAATCGTTTGTTTTTTTGATTAGACACTGGAATGAAATGATGTCATCGCCTGTTTTTTTAATTGTTCAATGTCATAGCTTACGCTCGTGAAAAATTTTTTTTGACACAGTTGTCTTCAAGTAATTCTATTGAAATCTTTTTTTAAACACCCTAAAACTAAGGATTTTGTTCTGGTCGTTTTTTTTCGATTGTGCTTTTGGCCTTTTAAGTGCTCTCTAACTTTTTTTTGTGCTTGATTTCACACATGTGAACCATGTCAGTCTTTTTTTTATCTAATTTTGTAAAGAAATGTCATAAATTGAGGACGTATTCTTAGCGGCAAAATAACACACTTTTTTGGACCTTGTTTTTTTTGCGTATAAACACTAATATTGTAAACATGCAATTTTTTTTTTTACTGTTCCCAGCATCATCTTGAAAGCTACCCTTTTTTTTTTAGCGAGCATGCAATCTTAGATATCGCTGAATAATTTTTTTTTGTGTAATTTTAAGGTAATCTATCACTGCAGGCTCAACTACTGTCTTCTATAGATGCAAAGGCTTGGCTACCTTTCAATTTTTTTCTTGAAATTGCAAAATGGAGTATTGGGAAAAGTAGTTTTTTTAAAGGAAATCAGAATGGCTTTCATATTTGTCTGATTTTTTTTACATATAGCATTGTTATTTGCAATATATTACATAATTTTTTTCTCAATTGTATTGTAAATCTATCATATGAATGTTATGCAATACAAGAACACATGCGATGCATATGAGCAACCCTCTATTTTTTTGGGTCCTTTTTCTGATAAAATAAATTAGTCGTGATTTTTTTTACATACCTTTATTCAAAACATTACAATATATAATTTTTTTTTCATATCATCGTGCATGTTTACAATATTTTTTCAACTTTTTTTGTGGTGCATGTGATTTTTTGATTACATTGTAAATTTTTTTTTAGTAAAAGTCAGTAAAGGTTATACAAAGATATTATTTTTTTTACTAAGGACTTATAATGTCATCCCTATACATGTATTTTTTTTAGTATATTAGTATTTAGAGTTTCTTCTACATTGTGTTTTTTTTTGTACTTCATAGTGAGGTCATAAAACCCGTGAAATTTTTTTACTTGATGATCAAAGTGTAATACTAGAATAAAGGGTTTTTTTCCCCTATATTTGCTAGATCATCAAATTTGTAAAACTTTTTTTGACTATTAAAGTGTAATAGCCAAACAGACATAAAATTTTTTTAATAGAGTCATGTTCATCCATCTTTGAAATAGGAATTTTTTTATTAAATAAAATTCCCTTCTATTAGCTTCCAATAGTTTTTTTTATGACATGCGACAAACTAATTAGGCAAACACAGTTTTTTTTTTTCATTTTGATAGCCTACTACACCCTAATAGTTATTTTTTTACACTGACTAGTAGAAACTGTTTCACAGACGGATGTTTTTTTCTCAAATGTACTTAGATTGGCTTTCACACTCCTAGTTTTTTTACAAACTGTGTACATTTTACTACTAAAATATTGTCTTTTTTTACTGAGTAATGAAAGGATAGAGTAAAACAAAACTTTTTTTTTCAAATGTGATTATCAAATAGACACAACAGAAAACATTTTTTTTATAGCGTACTAAGGTGTGTTAATAATTATCCATTTTTTTTTTTTTTGACTTCAGTCTAGAATGCTAACACTAAACCTTTTTTTATGACTCTCAAAATAGTGCTAAATAGCACAATATATTTTTTTTTAGTCAATAGAAAACAAATAAAATCGTATAATTCTTTTTTTTTTAGTACTATTTAATTACATTTTCCATGATCACATTTTTTTCAAGCGAGCAAAGTCTAATACCTATCTTTTGTACTTTTTTTTCTATGTTTCACAGATTTAGGGCTTTGATTCTACATTTTTTTTACTATATTGAGTTTCACGGGTTTGTGAAACTAGAATTTTTTTACCACTAAATTTATATGGAACTGGGCCAGATGCAATTTTTTTTTCCTAATTTCTATTTTTCTCTTCTTATTGTATCGTTTTTTT